GGTTCACAGGTACAACCTTTGTAACTTCATGGTATACTCACGGATTGGCCAGTTCCTATTTAGAAGGCTGTAATTTCCTAACGGCCGCAGTTTCTACTCCTGCTAATAGTTTATCGCATTCTTTATTATTACTATGGGGTCCTGAAGCACAAGGAGATTTGACCCGTTGGTGTCAATTAGGTGGTCTGTGGACTTTTGTTGCCCTGCATGGTGCTTTCGGACTAATAGGTTTCATGTTACGTCAATTTGAGCTTGCTCGATCTGTTCAATTGCGACCTTATAATGCAATCGCATTCTCGGGTCCCATTGCTGTTTTTGTTTCTGTATTCCTGATTTATCCACTAGGACAGTCTGGTTGGTTCTTTGCACCTAGTTTTGGCGTAGCAGCTATATTTCGATTCATCCTATTTTTTCAAGGATTTCATAATTGGACACTAAACCCATTTCATATGATGGGAGTTGCTGGTGTATTGGGGGCTGCTTTGCTGTGCGCTATTCATGGTGCTACCGTCGAAAATACTTTATTTGAGGATGGTGATGGTGCAAATACATTCCGTGCTTTTAACCCAACTCAAGCCGAAGAGACGTATTCCATGGTCACCGCTAACCGCTTTTGGTCCCAAATCTTTGGGGTTGCTTTTTCCAATAAACGTTGGTTACATTTCTTTATGTTATTTGTACCAGTAACCGGTTTGTGGATGAGTGCTCTTGGAGTAGTGGGTTTGGCCCTGAACCTACGTGCTTATGACTTCGTTTCTCAGGAAATTCGCGCAGCGGAAGATCCGGAATTTGAGACTTTCTACACTAAAAATATTCTATTAAACGAAGGTATTCGTGCTTGGATGGCGGCTCAAGATCAGCCCCATGAAAACCTTATATTCCCCGAGGAGGTTCTACCACGTGGAAACGCTCTTTAATGGAACTTTAGCTGTAGCTGGTCGTGACCAAGAAAGTACCGGTTTTGCTTGGTGGGCCGGAAATGCCCGACTGATTAATTTATCCGGTAAACTACTAGGAGCTCATGTAGCCCATGCCGGGTTAATCGTATTTTGGGCTGGAGCAATGAACCTATTTGAAGTGGCGCATTTTGTACCAGAGAAGCCTATGTATGAGCAAGGATTAATTTTACTTCCCCATTTAGCTACTCTAGGTTGGGGGGTAGGTCCTGGGGGGGAAGTTGTAGATACCTTTCCGTACTTTGTATCTGGAGTCCTTCATTTAATTTCCTCTGCAGTGTTGGGCTTTGGCGGTATTTATCATGCACTTCTGGGACCCGAGACGCTGGAAGAATCTTTTCCGTTTTTCGGTTATGTATGGAAAGATAGAAATAAAATGACCACAATTTTGGGTATTCACTTAATCTTGTTGGGTCTGGGTGCCTTTCTTCTAGTCCTCAAGGCTCTTTATTTTGGGGGCGTATACGATACTTGGGCTCCAGGAGGGGGAGATGTAAGAAAAATTACCAACTTGACCCTTAGCCCAAGTATCATAGTTGGGTATTTATTAAAATCTCCCTTTGGAGGGGAAGGGTGGATTGTTAGTGTGGATGATTTAGAAGATATAATGGGGGGACATGTGTGGTTAGGTTCCGTTTGTATACTTGGCGGAATCTGGCATATCTTAACTAAACCCTTCGCGTGGGCTCGGCGTGCCCTTGTATGGTCGGGGGAGGCTTACTTATCTTATAGTTTAGGGGCTTTATCCGTTTTTGGTTTCATTGCTTGTTGTTTTGTCTGGTTCAATAATACCGCCTATCCTAGCGAGTTTTATGGACCTACCGGTCCAGAAGCTTCTCAGGCGCAAGCATTTACTTTTCTAGTTAGAGACCAACGTCTGGGGGCTAATGTAGGATCCGCCCAAGGACCTACTGGTTTAGGTAAATATCTAATGCGTTCCCCCACCGGAGAAGTCATTTTTGGTGGAGAAACTATGCGTTTTTGGGATCTGCGTGCCCCTTGGTTAGAACCTCTAAGAGGTCCAAATGGCTTGGACTTGGATAGGTTGAAAAAGGACATACAACCTTGGCAAGAACGGCGTTCTGCAGAATATATGACTCATGCCCCTTTAGGTTCTTTAAATTCTGTGGGTGGCGTAGCTACTGAGATTAATGCAGTCAATTATGTCTCTCCTAGAAGTTGGTTAGCTACCTCTCATTTTGTTCTAGGATTCTTCTTCTTCGTAGGTCATTTGTGGCATGCGGGAAGGGCTCGTGCAGCTGCAGCAGGATTTGAAAAAGGAATTGATCGCGATTTTGAACCTGTTCTTTCCATGACCCCTCTTAATTGAGATGAGACAGGAGGAGATCCAATGCTTG